GATAATTAACTTCCCGTAGGGCAAGCAAGTTATAGTAATCGCAAAAAAATCGAAAATGAAAATTTTATATATCTTTACGTTTCAAAGGTTTCTGAACATTTTGGCATACCTTAGAAAAAATGGATGTATGTGTGTGTGTGTGGTGGTGTGTGTATGTATTATGATGTATGTATATGTATGTATGTATGTATGTATGTGCGTGTGTGTATGTATGTGCGGATACAAATTTCGTCGACGATTTCGGGAACACGGATCAACCGATTTGAATAATCAAAAAACATTCGATTCGTATTGATAAGAAGACGTGCTGATTAGTTTTTGGCAAAGGCAGGTCTAGCCGTCCGAAGATACGGGGCAAAAAGTGCTGAAAACGGTAACTCAGTTTTTAAGAGAACGGAGCATCCGATTTGAATAATTCAAAAAACATTTCACTTGTATTGACAAGATGAAGAATCGATAAAATTTTCATGAAGGTAGGTCTAGCGGTTTCGGAGATATGGAGGAAAAGTAAAAAAATGAGCCATTTGGCGGTCAAAAATGATCATTGACATATGCACATCAAATTATCAGATATTTTACAGAGATTTTAACAATAAGTATACATTTTGTTAACATTCCTATGGGTTCCGTACCAAGCTTATGCGTTAGCAGCGACGCGGCGCTTACGCGCTTTATATTTTGACCGTATGCAGTTAAAGCAGTACGATTGCTTTGAAAAAAAGTTCAGATCTTTCACAATATGTCAAAATTAAAAAATTTTTTTTTTTTTTAAATTTTCAAAAAAAAGTAATTTTTGTCTAATCTATAGTTTCTCAAAAATCTAATTTTTCAAGTAATTTTTTCAAAAATGTTAAACGTTTTTAAAAAAAATAATATTTTTGGTACGGGAAGTTCCAGCAATTTGCCTTAAGGCACGATGCCTTAATTGCCTTAAGACAGAATTCCACTTACAGCTAGTTCATTCTTTATTTGAAATTAATAATTGCTTCAATATGGATAAGTATTTATAATGAATATACGTACTAAATAATAGCAGTTTAAATTATAAAATTAACTAGTAGTGTTATGGCATCGTGCCTTAAGGCGAATGCTAGAAATTCCCGTGCCGTAACAAAATGTTCGAGGAATATTAAATGTTTTGAAATAGATTATTATAAATATTGTAACATTGTCTAATATTTATAAGAATTATATAAACTGGATTACAAAGTTAAAATTATTTATTTAAATTATATAAGTGAGCTTTAAAACTTTAGCAACCATTAAAATTAAAATCTGAATTATTTTCGATATACAAAAAAAAAAATTGAAAAAAAAAAATAAATAAAAAAATGAAATATTTTTTCCGCCAAAATCAATTATTTTGTCAAAACAAGCAGAAAGTTTTTTGAATCATTCAATTCGGATACTTAATTCTCTCAAAAACTGCTAGTTTTTGTACGTTTAGCTCCGTACGCTCGGAACGGCTGAACCAGCCTTTGCCAAAAACTAATCAGCATATCTCCCTATCAATACTTATTTTGCGAACAATAATCACGAGAACTTCAGTTTTATAAGTTAATATTAACTATATAATATTGCTTAATAAATATAAATAATGAAAATAGTATAATAAGTGCAAAGTGCGATAATGCTAGAAATGATTTGCATGCAACATGCATCTAGTAAAAATTAATAAAAAAACATTATATTAGGTATACACTATTTAAGTATAATTATTAAGATATATAATTAATTAATAACATGCAAAGATTATACATATTTTTCCTAAGTTCATCTTATTATTTGTGCAAACCATGAATAGTTTTTCTATTAAATCATAAAATCAAAGTTAATTATGAATGTTAAATTTATTGTTTGGTTAATACTTTAATCGAGATGAAATTTGAAACGTAATGAAAATATTCTTATGAAAATTAAATCGATTGAATGAAAAATATGTGAATTAAATTATAGTTTTAATGTAGATTAATGATGAATTAAATATATATTTCGTCGTAGATTCCTAAAACCAATTACCAAATTTTAATGATAATCTTATACATCATTTACTACTTTTATTTTGTAGTTAATTATTTGTTATCTGTTTTTTAAAAACCTCTTTGTAAATTATATGCTAGACTTATTAAGACGAAAGAAATAGCTGTTGATAAAATGCTTATTGCAGAGTCAATTCTATGATATAATTTTTTATAACTAAATAGTATTATACGAGTATAATACTAAAAAAAACGAATAAAAAATGTAATTTTTTGTTACTTTGCAAATTTTTAGTTATTAAATACGTTTTATTCTAGAGGGCATTAAATAAGGGTATTGTCAGATATTCTAGTCTAAAGGCATGAATTTTATGCGATTTTTGAAGGACTATAATAAAAAATGCAAATATTTTTACAACTTATTATTTTATAAGTTATTAATTAATGTTTTAAAAACACAGAAAAAAATAAAAAAAATAGTTGTGATTCTTGCAAGTGATGAAGTGAAGGACTTAAAAAATTGGCACGTGATCCTGATTTTATTTCTCCAAATAACACAATAAAAAATATTAATAATCTAGAATGATAAATAATGGACAAGTTAATTTTCACAAAATAGCAATGTTAGAAAAAAATTACAAATACAAAAATACAATTTTTTTTGATACTCTCGATTTTTATAAAAATCGAAATTTGGGGTTGAGTGTAGTTCATACTGATAAGCAGACTATAAAAAACACTCTGTAAAAATTTCAAGTAAATCGGTCCAGTAAAATTTAAAAGATCGTGAAAATGGTGAAATTCGAAGAAAACGCGTTTAAAGTTTCGCAAAGGAAGGAAATAGCCAAGGGTTATTGAGATTAAGGGGCACACCTAGTGTGAAATTTTCAAATAATCGAATTTTGAATTTTTCCATATTTCGATAATCGATATACTAAAATCGATATCTTAGATAGTTTTTGAGTTACAGCCATTTAAAGAGTATATATATATATATATAGTATATAGTATAATGATCATTTTATCTTTTTTCGCGAAACAGCATTTGCTGAATTTGCTACAGCGATTACTCAAAAACAAATGATCCGATTACTATCAAATTTTTTTACATGTTCTATATATAGTCCTCCGTAAAATGAACTATCGATTTTTTTATCTGATTAAAATTCGAATTGTGGCAGGCTAAAAACAGCCAAAATTCGACTTTTTTTAAAAAAACGCCGCCATTTTGTCAATTTTTGATTTTTTTTTTTATCGTAGTTCATTTTACAGACAATATTATCTAGTTTAACGAGATTTTTTTTTTAAATTTCATCCATGTAGAAGGACGGAATCACTGCAGCAGTGAAGGGCCTTTTTTTGTGACGCTGTTGGAGATCGACAGAAACTTAAAAAATATTTAATTTTTTTCTTCTTACTACGTATTTTTAAAACATGTATAAATATATTCCTAAAATTTTGAAATGATTGATAAAGTAGTTTTTTTAATATGAATTCCCAAAAATCACCTATTTTTAGGCGGTTACACTGGTTGTGCCCCTTAAAAGGTACGTGTATAATAATAAGAGAATCAGTTCTTTAAAAAAAAGCTGAATTTAGGAACAGTAGACCCTCTATCGAGTGCGGAAAATACTAAATCAGGGTAAAGCACATATTTTGTGTATCACTAGAAAAAGCATATACGACCCGAATTAAATACAAATTAATAAAAAATCAACTTACACAAGCTTCTACATACGTTACAGCCGATACATTTTCTCGTGCCGGACAATAGTTGTCCGGCCGCCATCTACAAATGGTTTTTGTTAGCAAATGAATAATGTGTACATACACAGTGCCGGTTTTGTTTTCTGTACGCTATAGTGCGGTCCACGCTCACCCTGTTGTCGACCGCCGGAACCACCAAGACCACCAGGACCACCAGAACCGCCGAGCGGGGGTAAGTGGTGACCCAGATCGCCGACGTCGTCGTCGAAGTCTTCTTCTTCCTCGTCGAAGTCATCGGAGTCTTCCTCGGAGTCGTCCAGGATCGGACGGGGGCCCATCTTGCTCCAACTGGGAGGAGACACGTTGATGGGGCGGTGAGAGGTCGAAGATACGGGGAAATTGCCGCCTCTGTTCACGGGCTGTAGGCGCTCCACGGTGGTGACGCCGCTGATGGGGTAAGACGGTTTGCGGTGGTTGTTGGAGGAGGACGATGAGGAGGAACCTGAGGAGTCTTCTGGAAAAAAATAAACGAAAGTAAATATTAGCACTTTTTAATTTTTTGAAGCAAAGGTTTATGTTTGAGGGAGTCCTTAATCACGTTAGCCCTAAAAATGGAAGGGGAGAAGGTTTACTAAAAATCACAAAATATCACGTGGGGCAGAGTCTAGTCTAGTAAGATATCACGCATTTTTTACCTCAACTTTAAAAAAAATCCTAACATTCTCAAAAATGTTACGATTTTTTAGGTACTAAAAATGCACGTAATGTTTGCTGAGGGAGGGGTGTAATTTTAAATATCACGACTTATCACCAATGCTTACGTAATTAATGGACGCTCCCTTTCCTTTAAATTTTGTACAAACCAATATTTAAATTTAAGAGGTCTAAGAGGCACGAGTTTTACGTGATTTTTAAAAGGTCGCACAACTGGCAACCAATATTTAACTCGTCGTCGCACAACTGGCAATACTATTTATTGGAGATTATGAAAAAATATAAAAATTAAAAGTGGTATTTTTCCTTAAGGTAAGTTATATGAACTTCCCACATGATTTATAAGTATTCCTAGTGGATTTATCACACATTACTGAAAATTGAACACGTGACTAATACAAGTCCGAGTATTTTCTAAAATATTCAAAATTCAATAAATTTTTATTATTGTAATAGTTTCCATATGATTATAATTGTTTTTTAAGTTTATTAAGACCAGGTACTATATTGCAATACCAAATAAAATCTCTAATTTTAACAAACGCCAAGAAAAACGCTGTTATTTTCTTTTCAAATTTTGATGATTTTTCTGAATTGAACGACTTGTCGTAGGGCCGTAATATTATTTTAGTATGATCTATAAGACCATGGTCTCTACCGTCAAAAAAAAATAGTCTAAAAAAAAATTTAACACTTTATTACAAGAAAACGGTCTGGCCGATCTCTACCACAAACTAATCAGCGCGATTCCCAACCAATATCTTTCGAACGGTTTTTGAATTTTCAAAATCGATTCAGAATTGCGAGCTAAAACGTGGACAAATTTTTTTTTGCTATTTACAAAGAAACGGCTTGGCTGATCGTCGCACAAAACTGATAAAAGATAATCCACATCGAAATACGTCGATTGGTTTTTAAAGTTTTGAAATCAGTCTAGCAGTTTTTGAGAAAATGTCGATAAAAGTTCAAATTTCGACAAACGCCAAAAAAACGATACGAATTTTTGCAAAATTAGACGAATTTTTAAAATTAAACGACAAAATTTTGTTAAAAAAATTAATAAGAATCTTCGAAAAAAATTTTTTTAACACTTTATTACAAGAAAACTTCTTCTTTACCAAAAAGTAATCAACACGATTTCGAACCAATATTTTTCGAACGGTTTTTGAATTTCCAAAATCGATTTAGAATTGCGGGCTAAAACGTGGACAATTTTTTTTTCACTTTTCTGCTATTTATAAAGAAACGGCTTGACCGATCGTAGTACAAATTCGACGATGGTCCTCGTCGAGATACATGGAAATGGTTTTGAATTTTTAAAATCGGCCCAGCTGTTTTCGAGAAAACGTCGATTCACGACAAAAAATCTGTTCACACACACACACACACATACTTTTTCCAAATTTGGTCTTTGATTCAGAATGCCTTGAAACGCCGAGAAAACATAAAATTTGCGAATCGGATTTTTTGATGAAAACATAAACTTTCCCTTCGAGAAGTTAATGAAAGCATCATTTTTTGTTCCAAATATACTATTGGTGTTTTACAAATCACACTTTTTTCTCTTCAGGCAAGTTTCTGTACCTTTAATTCCTCCAGTTTTATTTTTTGCATTTCTAAATTTTGTATACGATTGATTTTAGATCCAATTTTAATCGTCTCCATCAGCTTAATAATATATAACGAAGTTATATTTTCAATAAAGACCATTTTATTGATTGTGGTTTTAATAACTCATACAATATTAAAGTTAAATCTGTCATAAAATTTTATTAATGGAGCCTATGGTTTTATCCACAATGACTCCACGACAAGTATTTAGATGATTTAATTTATGAGTCTAGACAATGACCGAGTAAAAGCCTTGTGGGCGTTTTCCTGCACATTGTATAACAGATACATGGACAAGATTCAGAAACTGAAAAAATATGCATTTTAAATTATGTTTACAACAATTCGCTTAAATTCTCGTTCTCGAAGGCAACCCCATGGTTGTCTTCAATATTTTGATATATATTTTTATTAAAAGGCAACTCGATGGTCTTTTTATCTATTAACTCAGTGGTTTTGATATAGATTTTTTATCATTTACGTAATGTGATGTGTAATGATGGGGATCTTTGAGCTTATTATTAGGTCGTTTAAAGCACTTGCTGATGATTAATTGACTGCAATTAAATAATAACACTGGAGACGCATTGCAAATAGTTTGTATGTATCTCGATTCTTTAATTAGTGAAGTAACAGACAGCTGACTGCTGCAATGCAATATTATTTTGCAAGTCAACTACATGTGAACTCAATCAATCTTATTGAGCAGGGGCTGATGTAAAGAGATAGTAATATGAATTTTTTTTTTAATTTAAATTAAATTTTTCATAAATTATAACTTCTCGAAACTGTGTTTTTCGATGCGATAACCACGATTTATCAAATATTACCGCACCGATTTACTTGAAATTTTTCCAGAGCTTTTTATGGACTCTCTTTGGTGTGAACTACGCTCATGGCCAAATTTCGATTTTTGCCATTAGAAAAAAATCGAGAATATCAAATAAGTTGTAAAAAATTTTTTTACAGACTTCAGGCTAAATTCATGGGTCAGATGCCAAATTTTTGTGCTCTCCATCTTCTAAAATTAAAACTTTATGACATTTTTCACTTCCCGAAGGAGAAGTTAATGTTTTCACGAAAAAAATCCAATTCGCTAATTTTATGTTTCCTCAACGTTTCAAGCCACTCCGAATCAAATAAGACCAAATTTGAAAAACTTATGTGAACAGATTTTTTGTTGTAAATCGACGTTTTCTCAAAAAACTGCTGGATCGATTTCAAAAATTTAAAAGCCAATCGATGTAACTCGATTAGGACTAGCTTTTCTCAGTTTTGTGCGACGATCGGCCGAGCTGTTTCTTTGTAAATCGCAGAAAAGCGAAAAAATTTTCGTCCACGTTTTAGCCCGCAATTCGGAATCGATTTTGAAAATTCAAAAACCGTTCGAAAGATATTGGTTGGATATCGACCTGATTAGTTTCTGGTAAAGATCGGCCGGACCGTTTTCTTGTTTTAAAATTTTTTTCGACAATTTTTATGATTTTTTTATGACGGTATATACCATAGTCTCATAGATCATACTGAAATATTACGGCCCTACGACAAGTCGTTCAATTTTAGAACTTTCATCGAAGTTTGCTCAAAAACGCCTGAACCGATTTCAGAAATTTAAAAACCATTTGATGTATTTCGATGAGGTTTATCGTTTTTCAGTTTTGTGCGACGATCTGCCAAGCCGTTTCTTTGTTATTTGGAAAAAAGTGTTAAACTTTTCATCCACATTTCAGCTCATACTACCGAATCGATTTAAAAAAATCAAAAACAGTTCGAAAGATATTGGTTGAGATAAAATGATGCTATGATCAGGAATAAATAAAATTCAACTTACGATTAATTCCTTCTCTCGATAAACAGTCTTCCCACTCTGTCTTCGATAATTTATCATCATGATCCAAATCGCAAGCTCTTCCAAAAGTTCTTGCACATCTTCTTGGTTTAACAATCTGAAAAGTAGTACATACATGAAATTATAGATTTATTCAAAATAAATAATTTTCACCTTACTTTTTTCACAAGTCTTTTAAGTTCTCGATACTCATTCTTGTCAAGCCATCCATCTTTATTACTATCCATTGATGAAAATTTCCAGTCGACAACTATTTGATCGTCGTTATTACCATTTGAGGTAAAAGATCCACTTTGTGACCTCTGATATTCAGTTTGGAATATTTTTATGAGATTCAGGTTGAAGGATGCTCTGTCTGATTTGCTACAACCTGGAATAAATAGATAGAAAAAATCCTAATGTGTAAAAAAGGTAATTAAAAAGGTTAATGTAAAAATAATCATAGAAAAATGTAAAATAAAATTCAATTTTTTCTGTTTAGCAGGAAACAAATTATAGTCTCTGACTTTGACTTAAATAAATGTGTTTTTTTATTTTATTTTTTATTTATTTAATTATTTATATATTATTTTCATATCTCAGTCAGACAGGAGTGTCGGGTATGAGAGATTATGAAAACAAATTTCATATTTTTTATTTACAATTTGGGATCAATAACCTATATATTAAAATTCCATAAATTTCATCGCCCAATGAACATCTAGCCTAGATCTAGGTATTACTAATCATTAATTAGCATATTTCACTGACAATATAAAAATCAATATTAAAAGAAAACTAGAGCAAAAGTTCAAGAATCATATCGTAAATTGAAGATATAAAATTATTTAAAATCATTGTACTATGTCTTAAAATTCATCCTTAAATGCAAAATGATTCTAATATTATTAGCCTTTTAAAGTGAGATATAATTTTTATAACAACATAAAATTATTGAAAAAAGTGGTTTTACCTTTTTATTATTTTTCTCTCTAGATGACGATCTCCTATGTGTTGACTTTGCTGTGAACAATAAAAAATATAATAAATATGATTATAAAAAAAAACAATTTTGTTTACAAAAATAACAATTAAAATACAATAGCAATTAGAATAACTAGTAATTGAAGTAAAATAGCAATTACTAAATATGGTACATTTTTTGGTAATATTTGTAATAGTAACATCATAGGTAAAAATACAATAAGTTTGGTAAAAAATAATAATATGGTACAAATTTACACAAAATGCCTCATATAAATCTTGCTCATTTTTCGCCATATAAATAATCAATGCTGCTGATACAACAATTATTTTGATTTAATATCAAAGAGATTTTATATGATGCATCTGGATAATTTCTTTGACAACACAACGTGTTTAAGGTCTTGATGTTTCAGTAAACATTTGTACAAATTAAATTCACGCCAAGCAATTCATTTACACCAATGACTATTTTGATTTATATCATGAAGTCAGTAATAATTATTTTTTTTATTCAATTTATTCTGCAATCTGTTAGATAAATATATAAATAAACTAGTGGTGTGACAAGGCAACTTGCTGGAACTTCCAGTACCGTAATTAAACATTCGAGACATGAAAATAATCAATGTTTTGAATAATTTCACATAGATTATTATAAATGCATACTTTAAACTTAAAAGTGCTTTTTAAATTAGGCGACGAGCGTATTTTACGAACTGAATTTTTTTTGGAAAATATGTGTTTTTTTTAACTTTTTTGAGAATTAAGAAATTTTTGAAAATATCCGATTTTTTGAAAATTAAGAAATATTCTCAAATTTTTGTATGAAACCGTTTTTTCAAATGTCGGTGTTTTTTTAATTTTTTCGAAATCTGTTTTTTTTTTTAAAAATGAAAAATTTCGAAAATTTGAATTTTTCCAAAAATTTTGATTTTTTTTTGTTGAAAATTTTCATAATACGAAATTTCTGTAAAAGAATTTTTTGCACACTGTCTACTCAAGCAAAATGTTTTTTGAATTAATTTAATCGGATGATCCGTTTTTACACCCTTTGCGCTCCATACCTCCGAAACGGCAAAATCGCCTCGCGATCGAGTACGAACCGAATGATGAGGACATTTGTTTGAACCATTTACGTAAATTTTAAAATTAAAATTCTTGGTACCAATGTCTAATGAAAATGTTTGACCGCCAAATGGCATTTATTTAACTTATTTTTATTGAGAGTCCATAACCGCTAAATCTGCCTTTCCGAAAATTTGAACAATTCCTAGTTTAGTCAATATAAATAAAATGTCTTTAGAATTATTCGAATCGGACTCTTCGTTCTCTCAAACACTGAATTACCATTTTTGATTCTTTTTGCCCCGTATCTTCGAAACGGCTGCCTTGTCTCTGTCAAAAACTAATCAGCACATCTCCCTATCAATAGGAATCGAAAGTTTTTTGAATCATTCAAATTGGTTGATCAGTGCGGTCGAAAACGTGGATGAATAATTGTATTCATACAAACACACACACATCCATTTCTTCTAAGGTATGCCAAAATGTTCAGAAACCTCAAAAAGTCCAGAAATGCAAAAAATTTCAATTTCGATTTTTGGACGATTACAATAACTTACCCTACGGAAGTTAATACAACAGGTCTTGCTAGCTTAAGAGAGGTATTTGTGAAAACAATTATGTTGATCAATTACCTTTCCTGGCGCACAGAGGTCTGCCAGTGCGTACACTCGTATTAGGGATAGGCTGTCCACGTCTGGTGACACACCAGCAACCCGATCCGGCCAAACATTGCACCGGGGAATACCCGCCGTCTTTCCTGCAACGCGGAATGAATTGAAAGTTGACGCTTCCTGGACGTTTAGAACGCTTGTTCCAAGGGCGTAGGCTTTGCTCGCAAGACAAGCATCTGAAATAGTAACAAAAATTTGAGTTATTAAAACAATAGCTGTTAGAGAGACTTCTTCTTAAACCTACATTATCATCACGAGGATGAATTGATTCGACCACTCGACTCACCTTACACTGTCCGTTATGTTTCAATGTAACCGCGAAGCCGAGACACTGCTGTCTCTCCAGGTGACACTTTGATTTGTAAGTGTGATTATCGGAGCCGCAAACGGGTCGAAATCTCTGAAACCTGGTCGTCTCTATGGAGCGAGATGTACGAGACACCGCCACCGCTTTGTTCATGCACTCTCGCATGCGGATGGAGCAATCGTTCATCTGAAGGATAGAGGATTGAAATCAGATTGGGAATAAGGAATGAGAAATTTGAAAAATATTAAAAAACTAAAAATTTTTTGCAAGAAAAGTTTATGTTTTTTGCCAAAAAATCTGAAATGCTAATTTACGTTTTACCGACGTTTCTGAATGGAAAGACACCAAATTAAGATAAAGTAGGTGTGTGGAACCAATTTTTGACTTTTCGTCGGCGTTTTGGCTCCCCAAAAATCTAAAAACCTTCTATATGGGCTCGATTAGATTAACTCATTAATCAGGAATATAATTAATAAAAAATAACATTTTACATCTAGAAAAAGTAGAAAAGATTAGAAGTAACATGATTGATAATTTGCTATTTGAAAATTCATAATGTATCTCAAGTGGGTGCGGTGCGGAAGCTTATATATTACTCCGACTTACGAGTATTTTGAGATACGAGCCTCTAAAAGAGCGATTTGTTACTTTGACATATAAGCATGATTCGAGACACAAGCTTAAAATGATTTTTTTCTAGAACTAGTGGAGTGCATGGCATCGTGCCTTAAGGCAAATTGCTGAAACTTCCCGTACCGTAATCATGTGGTACAAAAACCAAAAAAAATATATACACGTTATTAAAATCTCTATAAAATATTTGATAATTTGATGTACATATGTCCAATAAATATTTTTGACCGCCAAATGACTTTTTTTTAACATATTTTTATTGAGATTCCATAACCGCTGGACCTGCCTTCCCAAAAATTTAATCAGTTCCTCAAGTAAAATGTTTTTTGAATATTAAAATCGGACGCTCCGGTTCTCTTAAAAAACTGAGTTAGCGTTTTCGGCACTTTTTGCCCCGTATCTTCAAAAACGGCTAGACCTGCCTTTGCCAAAAACTAATCAGGACGTCTCCCTATCAATACGAATCGAATGTTTTTTGAATTATTCACATCGGTTGATACATGTTTCCGAAATCGGTGACGAAAATTTGTATCCGCACACCACACACATACATCCATTTTTTCTAAGGTATGCCAACATATTCAGAAACCTTTGAAACGTAAAGATATATAAAAAATTTCATTTTCGATTTTTTTGCCATTTACTATAACTTACCACGGTAAGTTATTAAATAGACCCTTTCTTCGCCAATCCTAAAAGCCAAGAAAGGTGTTGTTAAATTAAATTCATAATAAGAATAAATAAAAATCTTAGTCTACTAATTAGTAATTTATTTTTATTTCTTTAAACTGTGAAAATTCGAGATCTTAGAATAAGCCCAATAGATTTTTATTAACATTTCAGGAAAAATAAAGTTTTATGTT